CAGCACCCGAAGAGTGGTCATCTTCGGGGTAAGAGAGAAGGTCTGAAAGTAGTCAACTCCCTGCCGCTGACTGAAGCCTCGAGCCACGTAACGCGCCTTGAAGACAGGCGGAGAACCCGGCGGCCACTTCACCCTGAAATTCCACATGCCACTGACGATGTTCGCCCCAGGTGGGGGAACCTCGTCGACGTAGGTGCCTGTGGACTTCCAGGAACCCATCTCTGTATCCATGGCTGACTGCCACTGAGAGGAGTAGGGACCCTCGATCGCCTCAGCGTACGATCGAGGAGTCGGGATGTCTGGTGCATCCGGGTCTCCCTCAGGGGCAATCAGCGTGGACACGAGATGAGGCAAAGCAGCAGCAAAACACTGGAACTCCTCCTGCCTGTCCTCAAGGACGTCCGTGCTAAGAGCACACTCACCCCCGACGGACGAAGGACAGACAGACTCAGACTCAGCAACAAGACTAGCGGCGTAGTCTAGACGACAGCGAGCAGCAAAGTCGACAAGCTCAGCAACTAGGGCCGACACAGCAGTGGACTCAAAGGAAGGGTCAGTGACAACAGTAGCCCGGAGATGCGTGACAGTAGGACTGGCAGCACGAAGAGAGTCAGAGTCCGGGTCAGGGAGAACAGGAAGAGAGGACTCTGGAGGAGACGACAACGGGACACGCAGAGGAGCAATGGAAGGACGCAGTGCCATCTGGTGTCTGCCTGGGACTGGAGGAGGACGCGGACGCGGAGCAAGACCACTAGTGCGAGCAGCACGAATAGGCGACGCAGGACGAGACGCATGCTCACGAGGCTCAGCAAGACCTCCAGTAGGACCAGTGTAGGGAGAAGGAGCAGGTAGGGGGGAGGAAGACTTTAACTATGACTGCGACTGGACAGGCTATGGACACTCTAAGGGAGGAGCAGGACCAGTAGAGGGCGGGAAACCAAGAACCTGCTCAAGGAGCGGAACGAAGTACGCCCTCGGCCGCGTAGCGCCTCCAGAACCAGCAGGGACGGCACCAGTACCCCCAGCGGCAGCACCAGCGCCAACAGCACCTCCAGCTCCAACAGCGCCAACTCCAGCACCCTCAGACGCACCAGCGCCAGCAGAACCACTAGCGCCAACACCCCTAGCAGCTCCAGCTCCAGCAGCTCCAGTAGCACCAACTCCAGTAGGACCGCCTCCAGCAGCCCCAGCAGCACCCCCTGTCCCAGCAGCTCCAGTACCGCCAGTATGAGCACCTCCAGGACTAGTAGCAACAGTAGCAACTCCAGCTCCAGCAGCACGGCTCCAGCGCCGGGCAAACCACTCGCGCAACACCTGCGGAGAGAGTAGCTCCCGCCTCGACGAAGCACCGCGAGAGGCTACATGAGCAAACCCAGTACCCCCAGGCTCCGCACCCCTAGGCTCAGCACCCCCAAGCTCAGCACCCCCAGACTCAGCACCCCCAGGCTCCGCACCCTCAGGCTCAGCACCTCCAGACCCGGCACCCGCAGGCTCAGCACCTCTAGCAGCACCAGAGTCAAAAGCTACCTCGACAGGCTCGGCTGCGTCTACCTGGGACACACCTGACGGGGCACGACCCTGAGGGGGGAGGGGGTCTACCGGGGGAGGACCTGGCGCAAGGAAGAGCGGCGGCGGGGGGAGGGGCGCAGTGCGGTAGGGGAAAAGACGGTAGTAAGGCATCGACTCATTAAAGGTGACGTCCTGGGAGGACAGAACACGGCGTGAGGTGGGGTGGTAAAACTGCCACCCAGGCGCGTCAGGGGGGAAGCCAAGGAAGACGCAGGGAACACCACGGGGGGACAGCTTGTCCGCAGACAAGTCGCGGACAAACGCCCGAGATCCCCAGACCCGAAACGTAGACGCATCGCCAACCTTCCCCGTCCACCGCAAGGTGGGGGAGGTCTCTGGCAAGGAGACCCAGGGCTGAAGGTTGAGCTGATGCGCCGCGTACTGAACCGCAAACGGCCACAGAAAATGGGGGGGCAGCCGCACGGATCATGGACGTACGCGCAACGTCCATGACCATGCCAATGCGGCGCTCAGCAATCCCATTTTGCTGTGGAGAGGCCGGAAGCGTGAAGGTCTAGCGGATGCCCTGTGCACGACAGAAGGCTCCCAGACGGGCAGAGGAAAACTCCCCGCCTCTGTCAGAGTGCAGACGCAGAACAGGAAAGTCCGAGCCGAAACTCTCTCCGAGCTGGAGACGAGCTGCGCGGATCCAGTCGATCAACACCTCAATGACGTCACCCTTGCTGCGCAAGGGGAACACCGTGGTGTAACGCGAGTAGTCGTCAACCACCAACAGGAAGTAACGCTCGTGACCCTGGCCACGGACATGGGCGGGGCCCCACACGTCCATGTGAAGAGTCTGCAGTGGAGCCTCTGTCGGAGGAAACTCGGAGGAGTGAGGGGCGGCGCGCTGTCGCCCCTCGACGCAGGGGACGCAGGTAGGGGCAGGCCCCGGAGGTAGGGGAGGTAGGGACCGGGGAAGACCAGAGACAAGGACACGTGAGGCCATGCCTCGGAGATGAGGCAGGGAGGGGTGACCAAGGCGGTGGTGCCAAAGGAGAGTCTGGTGGGACAGGAGACGACACGAGCAGGGCGCAGACTCAGGACCAGACCTGGACGCTGCAGCAAACACCTGACTCAACGCAGCTACCTGACCAGACTCAGCAACCGGAGGAGACTCAGTAGTTAGTGTGTACAGGCTCGATCCCGGCCGACGGGTAAACGTGGCCAAGTGTCGGCTCGTCCGAGCACACGTGCACTGGGTCACCCGCTGACTCGCAGGAGTGAACTGGTCAACCCCCGTATCCTGTAGATCAGCTCAACTCACCAAGTTCGTAGAGAACGAGGGGAGGTAGAGACCTGACAGGGTGCCAGAGGAGGCTGCCGGGCACGGTAAGACAGTGGAGAAGCTAGCAAGGACAGGACCCCCAGAGGGGTCCGCCACGGAGACTGCAACCGGCCGACTAAGCGGCGTAAGCGTGGTGCGGTCTCGAAAGAAGGAGCGGGAAGCACCCGAGTCAAGGGTGAAGGTGTGTAAGGCCTGAGCCGACGTGGTACCTGAGAGAGCAGACTCACCAGCACCTGGGGCAGCAGACGCACTAGCACCTAGAGCAGCAGCCTCACCAGCACTTAGAGCAGCAGCCTCAATGCCTGGGTCAGGCGGAACACACAGGTATCAGTCACCCTCAACACTATCAGACACAGCATACATGGCAGCAAGAATACCATCATAATCAAGATCAAAGATAGCAACCCCCGCCCTAGACAGCTCTCCCCAGCAAGGGATCTCAGTGGCGTCAGCGAACTGGTGACGCCACGCGTCCGTCAGGCGGCCGAAGCAGCGATGGGTGGAGTGCGGGCCCCCGCACTGCTCACCAGCGCAGTCGGCGGTACGGAGGACGTAGGTGCAGGGACTAGTACCCCCACCGCGCTGACGCCCAGCGTACCACTCACGAAGCTGCTGAGGGGACAGGGTCTCACGACTGCGCTGCTGCTGTTGGCGCAGACCACCACCGGACCACTCCTCTGCGCAGAGCCGCGACCAGCTCCACCGCTGCCGCCGGCGCCTCCGCCACCTCCGCCGCCTCCGCCACCTCCGCCGCCTCCGCTCCCTCCGCCACCGCTGCCGCCTCCTCCGCCTCCACTGCTGCCACCGACACCTCCACCCCTGCCACCACTCCCACCACCACCCCCACCCCCTCCACTGCCTCCACCACCACCTCCACCACCCCCGCCAGCCCCTCCAGCGCCCTTGCCCCCCTTGCCCTTGCCAGTGCGGCGTCTCCCGCTACTGGTAGACGCAGCGCCGACCGACTCGAAACCAACGAGGGCGGCCGCAGCAGCAGAGGCAACAGAGGGCAAGAGGGGGGAAGGGGAACACCCCTCAAAGACAAGGGTGCGAGGGTCACCACGAGAGGCTCCTACAGCGACTATGCTCTTCTCTGCTGCTAGGAGGCGCTCCTCGAGGAGGTCAACGGTGAGTGTGGTGGGGCAAACTGAGAGGAAGTGGTCCCTGACTAAGCGAAGGGAGTCAGGGAGACGGGTGACTATGTAGTAGAGGGTGATGTACATGGGGGGGGGGGTTCTTGGCACAGAACTCAGCAGGAAGCGAAGCGTGGTAGCGAGTGTCGCTAGTGCGAAGGTGCGTAATGAGGTCAGCGACTGTGGGAAAGGCAACAAGGTCAGGGAACAGGTACGGTAGCATGAGGCGGCTAAGCGCAACAGTGGCAGGGGAAGAGTAGCGTGCAACTACAGCGTTGTACAAGGTCTGAGCACTCTTGTACTGGCTAAAGTGCGCACGCTTAGTGGTCGGTAAGTGGCGACGCACAGCAAGACGGGCAGCAGCATCGCGTGTGGCCCACTGTGAGCGAACAGTGCTGTCAGCAGTAGCAGGCGGGGCAGGAGAGGCACCAGAGGTGAGATCGAACAGGGAGAGTCCGTCTGCCCTATCGCACTGTAGGAACAGCTGGAGGTCATCGACCTAGACCTCAAAGTCAACAGCACGACCCCCAGCATCAAAGGTAAGGACACTGGGGGTAGCCATGACTGCAGTGGCCTAGCAGGGAGTGATCTCACCAGTCCGAGTAAGTAGGGCCGGGGCGCGCCGATAGGAACAGTAGTGGCTCGACGGGAGGGCGGCTCGGCGGCTCGGCTGCTGGGCGGGTCGGCGGCTTAGCGGCTCGGCTGCTGGGCGGCTCGGCTGTTGGGCGGCTCGGCTATCGGGCGGCTCGGCGGCTCGATTGCTGGGCGGCTCGGCGGCCCGGCTGCTGGGCGGCTCGGCGGCTCGGCTGTTGGGCGGCTCAGCTGCTACTATTGACAGCACTGTTCGCTCACAGTGGGCGACACGTGATGCTGCTGCCCGTCTTGTTGTGCGTCGCCACTTACCGACCACTAAGCGTGCGCACTTTAGCCAGTACAAGAGTGCTCAGACCTTGTACGACGCTGTAGTTGCACGCTACTCTTCCCCTGCTACTGCTGCACCGAGCCGCCTCATGCTACCGTACCTCTTCCCTGACCTTGTTGCCTTTCCCACTGTTGCTGACCTCATTACGCACCTCCGCACTAGTGACACTCGCTACCGCGCTGCGCTTCCTGCAAAGTTCAGCGCCAAGAACCCCCCCCCCATGTACATCACCCTCTACTACATAGTCACCCGTCTCCCTGACACTCTCCGTGTAGTCAGGGACCACTTCCTCTCTGTTTGCCCCACCACTCTCACCGTTGACCTCCTCGAGAAGGCCCTCCTAGCGATAGAGAAGAGCATAGTCGTTGTAGCAGCCTCTCGTGGTGACCCTCGCACCCCCGTCTTTGAGGGGTGTTCCCCCTCCCCCCTCTTGCCCTCTGTTGCCTCTGCTGCTGCGGCCGACCTCGTTGGTTTCGAGTTGGTCGGCGCTGCGTCTACCCCGAGCGAGAGACGCCGCACCGGCAAGGGCAAGGGGGGCAAGGGCGCTGGAGGAGGTGGAGGGGGCGGTGGAGGTAGTGGTGGAGGCGGTGGAGGGAGTGGGGGTGGTGGTGGGAGTGGTGCTGGGGGTGGCGGCGGCGGCGGCAGCAGTGGAGGCGGCGGAGGCGGTGGAGGTGGCGGAGGGAGCGGAGGCAGCGGAGGTAGTGGAGGAGGCGGAGGTGGAGGAGGTGGCGGAGGCGGCGGAGGCGGCGGCGGCGGCGGAGGCGGCGGTGGTGGAGCGAGTCGCGACTTTGCGTCGAGGAGTGGCGCCGGTGGTGGTCAGCGCCAGCAGCAGCAGCGGAGTGGTGTGACCCTGTCCCCTCAGCAGCTTCGTGAGTGGTACACTGCACGCCAGCGCGGTGGGGGTTTTGGTCCCTGCTCTTACGTTCTCCGTACCGGCGACCGGACTGGTGAGCAGTGCGGGGGTCCGCACTCCACCCAGCGCTACTTTGGTCGCCTGACGGACGCGTGGCGTCGCCAGTTCCCTGAGGCGTCAGAGATCCCTCGCTGGGGAGATCTGGCTAAGGCCGGGGTTGCTATCTTTGATCTTGACTTTGATGCTATTCTTGCTGCCATGTATGCTGTTGCTGATAGTGTTGAGGGTGCCTGTTACCTGTGTGTACCGCCTGACCCAGGCATTGAGGCTGCTGCACTAGGTGCTGGTGAGACTGCTGCTCTAGGTGCTAGTGCGTCTGCTGCCCCAGGTGCCAGTGCGTCTGCCGCCCCAGGTGCTGGTGAGTCTGCTCTCTTAGGTACTACGTCGGCTCAGGCCTTCCACACCTTCACCCTGGACTCGGGTGCGTCCCGCTCCTTCTTTCGAGACCGCACCACTCTTACGCCGCTTAGTCGGCCGGTTGCAGTCTCCCTAGCAGACCCCTCTTGGGGTCCTGTCCTTGCTAGCTTCTCCACTGTCCTTCCGCGCCCTGCAGCCCCCTCTGGCACCCTGTCGAGTCTCTACCTCCCCTCGTTCTCTACGAACTTGGTGAGTGGAGCGGACCTACAGGATCGAGGGGTTGACCAGTTCACTCCTGCGAATCAGCGAGTGACCCACTGCAGGTGTGCTCGGACAGGCCGACACTTGGCCACGTTCATGTCAGTAGATCTGCACTGTGGATGCCCGATTGATCCTGGAGAGGGTTACAGGCGCGTTCGCCTGGGGGGTTATGGGCGCATTGACCCGCTACTGAAACAAGCCCTTCTATCCCAATGGTCTAGTGACTGGGATTCTGACATGGTATCAGAGCGGTCTCGGGTTCGATTCCCGGTGTATGCACATGTAGGCCGTTGCCGCTGTGCTTAGTCCTGGGCCTCCCAGTGTGGGGGGGTGTCAGTAGATCTGCACTGTGGATGCCCGATTGATCCTGGAGAGGGTTACAGGCGCGTTCGCCTGGGGGGTTATGGGCGCATTGACCCGCTACTGAAACAAGCCCTTTTATCCCAATGGTCTAGTGGTTGGGATTCTGACAGTTCACCCGTCGGCCAGGGTCGAGCCTGTACACCCTTACTGCTGAGTCTCCTCCTACTGCTGAGTCTGCCCAGGTAGCTGCGTCGATTGAGGTGTTTACTGCGGCGTCCAGGTCTGGTCCTGAGTCTGCCCCCTGCTCGTGTCGTCTGCTGTCCCACCAGACTCTCCTTTGGCACCACCGCCTTGGTCACCCCTCCTTGCCTCGTCTCCGAGGCATGGCCTCCCGTGTCCTTGTCTCGTGTCTTCCTCGGTCTCTCCCTCCCCTTCCTCCGGGGCCTGGCCCTACCTGCGTTCCTTGCGTCGAGGGGCGACAGCGCGCCGCCCCTCACTCCTCCGAGTTTCCTCCGACAGAGGCTCCGCTGCAGACTCTACACATGGACGTGTGGGGCCCAGCCCGCGTCAGTGGGCAGGGGAGAGAGCGGTACTTTCTGCTGGTCGTTGACGACTACTCGCGTTACACCACAGTCTTCCCCTTGCGCAGCAAGGGTGACGTCACTGAGGTGTTGATCGACTGGATCCGCGCAGCTCGTCTCCAGCTCAGAGAGAGTTTCGGCTCGGACTTTCCTGTTTTACGTCTGCACTCGGACAGAGGAGGGGAGTTTTCCTCTGCCCGTCTGGGAGCCTTCTATCGGGCACAGGGCATCCGCCAGACCTTCACGCTTCCGGCCTCTCCACAGCAAAATGGGATTGCTGAGCGCCGCATTGGCATGGTCATGGACGTCGCGCGTACGTCCATGATGCATGCGGCTGCCCCCCATTTTCTGTGGCCGTTTGCGGTTCAGTACGCCGCGCATCAGCTCAACCTTCAGCCCCGGGTCTCCTTGCCAGAGACATCCCCCACCTTGCAGTGGATAGGGAAGGTTGGCGATGCGTCTACGTTTCGGGTCTGGGGATCTCGGGCGTTTGTCCGCGACTTGTCTGCGGACAAGCTGTCCCCCCGTGCTGTTCCTTGCGTCTTCCTTGGCTTCCCCCCTGACGCGCCTGGCTGGCAGTTCTACCACCCCACCACGCGCCGTGTTCTGCCCTCCCAGGACGTCACCTTTGACGAGTCGGTGCCTTACTACCGTCTCTTCCCCTACCGCACTGCGCCCCTCCCCCCGCCGCCGCTCTTCCTTGCGCCAGGTGCTACTCAGGTAGACCCCCTCCCACCTCAGGGTCCTGCCCCTTCAGGTGTGTCCCAGGTAGACGCAATCGAGCCTGTCGAGGTAGCTGTAGACTCAGGTAGACCCCCTCCCACCTCAGGGTCCTGCCCCTTCAGGGTGCCGGGTCTGCGGGTGCCGGGTCTGGGGGTGCTGAGTCTGGGGGTGCTGGGTCTGGGGGTGCTGAGCCTGGGGGTGCTGGGTCTGCTCGTGTGGCCGCCGGCGGTACTTCGTCGTGGCGCGAGCCGCTCTCTCCACAGGAGTTGCGCGTGTGGTTCGCCCGCCGCTGGAGACGTGCTGCTGAGTCTGGGGGTGTTGGCGCTGGTGTTTCTACTGGTGCTGGTGCGTCTGAGGGTGCTGCTGAGGCAGCTGGTGCTGACGGTCCTACTGGAGTTGGTGCTGCTGAAGCTGGAGCTGCTGGGGGTGTTGGCGCTGGTGTTTCTACTGGTGCTGGTGCGTCTAGGGGTGCTGCTGAGGCAGCTGGTGCTGACGGTCCTACTGGAGTTGGTGCTGCTAGAGCTGGAGCTGTTGGGGGTGTTGGCGCTGGTGTTTCTACTGGTGCTGACGGTCCTACCGGAGTTGGTTCTGCTGGAGCTGGAGCTGCAGGGGGTGTTGGCGCTGGCGGTGCTGCTGGCGCTGGTGCTTTTGAGGGTACCGGAGTTGGCGCTGTTCGAGCTGGATGTTCTGCTGGCGCTGGTGCTGCCGCTGGGGGTAATGGTGCCGTACTTGCTGGTTCTAGAGGCGCTGCGCGGCCGAGGCCGTACTTCGTTCCGCTCCTGGAGCAGGTTCTTGGTCTCCCGCCCTCTACTGGTCCTGCTCCTCCCCTAGAATGTCCACCGCCTGTCCAATCGCAGTCACAGTTACCGCCCGCCTCCCCTCTACCTGCTCCTTCTCCCTCTACTGGTCCTACTGGAGGTCTTGCTGAGCGTCGTGAGCCTGCGTCTCGTCCCGCATCACCTGTTCGTGCTGCTCGCACTAGTGGTCGTACTGCGCGTCCACGTCCTCCTGCGGTCCCCGGCACACACCAGATGGCACTTCGTCCTTCCACTGCTCCTCTGCGTGTCCCTTTGCCGTCTCCTCCAGAGTCCTCTCTTCCTTCTCTTGCTGACCCGGAGTCTGACTCCCTTCGTGCTGCTAGTCCTTCGGTCACGTGCCTTCTTGCTACTGTCGTCACTGACCCTTCCTTTGAGTCTGCTGCTGCGTCTGCTCTCGTTGCTAAGCTTGTCGACTTCGCTGCTCGCTGTCGTCTTAACTACGCTGCCAGTCTTGTTGCTGAGTCTGAGTGTCTGTCCTCTGTCCGTCGAGGGTGAGTGTGCTCTTAGCACAGACGTCCTTGAGGACAGGCAGGAGGAGTTCCAGTGCTTTGCGGCTGCTTTGCCCCATCTCCTGTCCACGCTGATTGCCCCTGAGGGAGACCCGGATGCACCTGACATCCCGACTCCTCGATCGTACGCTGAGGCGATCGAGGGTCCCTACTCCTCTCAGTGGCAGTCGGCCATGGACGCAGAGATGGCTTCTTGGAAGTCCACAGGCACCTACGTCGATGAGGTTCCCCCACCTGGGGCGAACATCGTCAGTGGGATGTGGATCTTCAGGGTGAAGTGGCCGCCGGGCTCTCCGCCTGTCTTCAAGGCGCGTTACATGGCTCGAGGCTTCAGTCAGCGACAGGGAGTTGACTACTTTCAGACCTTCTCTCCCACCCCAAAGATGACCACTCTTCGGGTGCTGCTGCACATAGCCGCTCAGCGCGACTACGAGCTTCACTCTCTTGACTTCAGCACTGCTTTCCTACAGGGCAGCCTGCACGAGGAGATCTGGCTGCGCCGCCCTCCTGGCTTCACTGGGTCGTTTCCTCCTGGCACCCAGTGGAGCCTCCGGCGGCCAGTCTACGGTCTCCGCCAGGCGCCCCGTGAGTGGCACGACACACTGAGGACTACACTTGCGGCTCTTGGGTTTGCTCCTTCTACAGCCGACCCGTCGCTGTTTCTACGCACCGACACCTCTTTGCCGCCGTTCTACATCCTCGTGTACGTCGACGACCTGGTCTTTGCCACTGCTGGACTCGCCCACGTGAAGTCCGGGCTGCAGAAGAGACACACGTGCACAGTCCTGGGTGAACTGCGCAGCTACCTTGGCTTGCAGATCACCCGGGACAGAGCACAGCGCACCATTACCCTGACTCAGTCACACATGGTGCAGCAGGTCCTTCAGCGCTTCGGCTTCACATACTCCTCGCCTCAGGCCACTCCTCTGTCTACTCGCCACTCGCTCTCAGTTCTGCCTTCGGATGAGTCCATAGAGTCGAGTGGCCCGTACCCAGAGCTTGTTGGCTGCCTCATGTACCTGATGACCTGCACACGACCTGACCTTGCATACCCTCTTAGCATCTTGGCACGCTATGTTGCTCCTGGGAGACACAGACCAGAGCACATGGCTGCAGCGAAGAGGGTGTTGCGCTACGTGTGCAGTACGTCCGGCATGGGGCTAGTGCTTGGAGGGCGACGTCGAGTAGTCCTCACAGGTCACGCTGACGCTTCTTGGGCTGACGACCAGGCTACAGAGTTACACCTTCAGCCTTGGCTCCGGCTCTGTTTCGTGGCGGTCTACTCGCTCGTCCTCTGTTCTCGGCTCCAGCTGTGAGGCTGAGATCTACGCAGGGGCCATGGCTGCACAGGAGCTACGCTGGCTCACCAACCTGCTGACTGACCTAGGAGAGCCGCCTCGTTCTCCTCCAGTTCTGTACGTAGACAACAAGGCCATGCTGGCCTTGTGTCGGGAGCACAGACTGGAGCACAGAACGAAGCACATTGCTCTCCGCTACTTCCTGGCTCGTGAGTTGCAGCAGCGTGGTCAGCTCCGCCTCACCTACGTGGCCTCTGAGGCCAACACTGCTGATATCTTCACCAAGGCCCTTCCGCCTTGTGATCATCAGCGCTTCTGTACTGTGCTAGGTCTTGTGCCTACCTGGCCTCACTTGCTCACTTCTTGATCTTGTTTGTACTGTCTTCTTTCTATACCCGCCCTTGCTTGTTTTACCTTTATATATATGACCTTGCATGTGAACTGGCCTTGTGGCCTTACTCTTGTGCTTGGACTGTGTGGTGACTTTGTGATCCACCCTGAGCTTGCTTTGCTTTGCTTGACTGGTCTTGTGACCACATGTTCTCCCCCACTTTGCCTATGGGGGTGTGTCTAAACATTATAGCTTATACATTTGTGTAGGCTGTAGTGGGGTAGCCCATAAGGGGTACAGCCCAATTAGGGTTAGTACTTGTACCTGTCATAACATATAGCTTTTGCATATTGTGTAGGCTATAGTGGGGTAGCCCACAAGGGGTACAACCCAATCGGGGTTAGTACTTGTACCCAACTCTTTCATAGTGCATTCATTCTCGTTCTCATTTTCTCATGGTATCGAGCAGGTTCCCCTGTGGGAACTGTGCCTAGGGCCCACCAAATTTCGATTTTTTTTTCCTGCCCGAAGCGCGCTCCGCCCGAGTCGCGCTCTCACCTCGTCGAGCCGCCCTAGCGGCCCCTACGCCCTAGCGGCCCTCCCTACCTTAGCGGCCCCGTCGTCCGTTCGTGCGGCCCCGCCACCTACTAGCGTCACCCCGCCACCCGCATTCGCGGCCCCCCCGCCCTACGTCGCGACCCCGCCGCCCTAACTGCGGCCTCGCCGCCCTACTCCTGCGGCCTCGCCGCCCTACTTCGCGGCCCCGCCGCCCTACGT